ATATAGCCAGGATATTTGTCTGTGTTTGGAATTACGGATGTGGGTCTTTCCATGCAGTTGGGGAACGTTTTTTGACATTTGGACATATTTGTAGATGAAGTATATTGCTCAGAGTAACCAAAGTGTTATCTTACCAAGTTTCTGAGCATTGGGGTACCGGTACTATGCGTGTTCAGCATGATATTTTCAAGTAAAACAGGTTAAAGATATAACATAGACACCAACAGCATGTTTACCATGTTTGGTTAGTATTTAAAAGTTGTATGCAAACCCTTCCCCCAAATGAATAGCTGAGAACATAACCGACCATTCCCAACTTGTATTTTAGGAATTTAAATTAAAGTCTTAGTGCATGAGCAGTGATCTGGGGGCATGGGCAGCTATACCAGGGGGGTGGCTGGGGGGAAGGGGGACCCGCAATAACTTTAGGGCGGGGGTTTTCAATGACGTCCCAGCCAATAATTTATCCCAGTGTGTGTATAGAATTTAGCCCAATTTACCTTAAGTTGCACTTTTCCCCCAAAAATGGCGTTATAGGTGTAAGATTCTGCTTGTACACCACCCTTTTCACTGCAATTGCACATAAAAGGTGTAAATGTGCGTATGTATACTTGTATGGGTGCATACATACATCTTGGAACAGCGCCCCTGTAGTCCAATGGCGTAGACCCCCCCCCCCCCGACCTTTTGAATTTCCAAGCTTCTGTCCTCCCAATATTGACAAGAAATTGTCTATGTTTCAAGGCAAGACTAGCTACGAACATGGGGCATCCATGAAGGCTGTATTGTAGGATCCATTAATAACCGTTCAAGATAGCTGTTTAAGATTATGCACATTTTACGCGTACATCGTGAGTAAATGCCTAAATGTGCACATGTAAGCATGCGAAACGTCTAGCTAATATCCCTCCACACTAAAACAACTCGAAAGACAGAATCTGGATATGCAGTACACATAACCACTTTCTTCGTTTATCTGCAGGTCACTGTACTTAGCATCTGTCATCTCTGGCGAATATGTATCTGGGAAATGGTGCGAGTGACAAGAGGGCATTAACTTCAATATTAACGACATCAGAGGCAGAAAGACATTTGCACATCAAGAACCTTCCGCCAAACTTGTTTACTGGCATGGAGAGGGAGGCATTGATAGATATGCAAGTACATGTACACGTAGATCTTGTCCTACATAAAACAATGTGGGCATTTACAAAACTGAAAAAGGGACATGTTTTTGGAGTCTTTCATCAGTACAAGTACAACACTTATGCATGGGCACATACCTGTTCTTTTTTTTTCTTGTCTTGTCCCCTATTTCAAACAGGATTTCGGGATATGTCAAAATTACTAACCTGGATGATTACTCAACAGCAATCTTGAGTATATATTTTCATAAAATAAGATAAACATGTTTTGATATTGAAATAACTACTCCACTGGTGAATTTTCAAAGGTCCCAAGACAAATCTTTTACAACAAAATTGTAAACTTTTTTTTCACATGTTATAAAGCAACAAATACAAAAGTGGACTCCCAAAAGTGCAATGCCATAATCTTCTACTCAAAGAGTGCTTTGAATCATCCTTGTCAATGAGGTGTACATATTCCTCTATATATGCTTGCTCGTGTGGGTGAGATGTTCTTTACACAATTTCAAGGGTGACCGATTCTAAAGAGCCTCCCTTCGATCGGTGTCTCCGTTGTTTTCCCTTTTTCGCCTGATGTTCCATACTCATTAAGGGTGGCAGAGGCAATTATGATATACCGGCTAAGCTGCTGGGGTCAATGCAGGGCCAGCAGGTGTAAGATTTTTTGAAGGCAAAAGTACCGAGTCAACATTTGGGTGGAGAAGATGCGCACACAGGAGGAGAAAAGAAAAGGTGATGGTGGAGGGGAATGAGGGGAGGGGTAAGGGATGTGGCGGAAGTGTCAGGGAAGGAGGTAAGTAAATGATGGACATGGCATCAAGGAAGGGGTGAGGGGATGAAAATGTGGTGGTCTGGGAAGGGATTTAGAAGATTGAGGAAGGATGAAGGAAGGGTCAATGAAGGTAAGGGGGTTAACAGGGAAGGTTAAGTGGATGAGGGGGGTGGGGTGTCAGAAAGGGGGAAAGGATGAGGAGATGTCAGGGCAGAGATAAGGTGCTGGTGGAGGGGATGTCAAGGAAGAGGAGAGGAGATGAGGAGGGGATGAGGAGGGGGTAGCAGGGAAGGGGAAAGGACGAAGTAGGAAGAGGCAAAAGAGAGGCTGTTTACAGTTGGAGAGGCCAGTTGGGGCTAGTCTTTGCCAAACTTCTCAGATGACAACACTCCACCTACATTTGTAAGCAAACACTTTTTCTAAATTAATCAGAAACACCCTTCACAATGCTAAACAAGCAGCTAAGGTACATGTACAAAATATCATAATATCAATGTACATGTGTAAATCATTTGTTCCTGAAAAACTCATGCTCTAAGTACATTTTTTTTCTGGGCCATCGATGTCCATATCCAGAACCTACACAGAACCCTTTCCCAAAACCACCACTTCTACCAACCACTACTCTCCACATTTTCTCCTTCTTAACACTACAAAATGTAGGCGACAGAGTGCTTTGACAGAGTGCACACATCGAAGGTTTGAATAAACCAGACGGATACATTATACCTTGTGGCTGTGTATCTTTATCTTCCGCAGACATATCTGGGCCAATGTTCTGAGATTAAGGAAAGAACGCAGCGGGGGCAGAAACTGCCACAGGACCAAAAGTTCTTATCATGGGTAGGAATGTACACTGGTCATATACATACACGGTCAATTAGATAAATCATATTGATCACCTGCAGCTATGTATACGTTTGTCTGCGGATATATTTGTGTTTGTAATGAAAGTGGCCCTTCACGAGGGTAGAAGTATGTAGCTTATCACTAGGGTTTTGACACTGAAGAAAACAGAAAAACACGGAAACTAAAGACAAAGAAAAGGGGTATTATAACAGACACTTTTTGACATCCGGAACTTTTTTTTTACGGATCCTTATGACTATGGCTGATAAGTGTAAGCATACAAGAGGTCATGTTCAAAAGTCAGTTTTGCCATCACACCTCTGTGTAAACGCATTGCTGCTAAGGAAACCAAGTCACAATGTTATGTCACGAAAACGCTCGAAGTTCACTTTACGCTGTGAAAAGTTCACTCTTAAATAGCTTCCAATTGCAATCCGACGTGTCGGGTACATCATAAATTAAGAATGAGATATTGATATAAACATTAAACTGGCTGAAACTTTGAGCGAGAAATGGAAATTTGTAGGTACTGATCCCATGTCAAGTTGCTTCCACACATAGTTCACATGTCATTTTCTTGTATCATGATGAGAAGAACGCAAAAAGTGATGACGTCACATGAAAAATCGATAGGAATGTGATACGGGTGAAAATTTCAACCCTGAAGAAACTCTCTGTCTCACTGAGGTGAGTGACTATCTCACAAAATGCAAACATTATTTTGTATATATGCGTCAGGAAGATGTACCAGTAATTCAATATTGGGTTTTGCTCTGCACATATTTTCATAAGCACTGTATACTCAATACTGTATGAGGGTTTGCAAGGAAAACTCAAGAGCTTTCTCAGGTGAAATTCGAACCTTTAACCTCCTACTTGATGGTGCAGATGTCTTACTACTCAACGGTTCAGCTACCTGGGTCAGCTGGCTGATAAAGCAAGGGGAAGTGCAAATAGTGCAATGGAATTTTTCGTTGGGATATGTGTATTGCTTAATATCTTGGAATTTGTAAGAGATGTGCACTTTTTAACATTCTTCTTCAAAAAGTAATGTCAATCACAAAGTTAAAAGGAAGCAACAAGAGATAAACTTAACCATAACCTCTTTGGGAGGGTTGCATAATTTGTATTATTAAAAAGTTCTTTATGTTGTGAACATTTCATTTGTGACTCCTTTTTAAAATTTTTAAATTTTTAATCTGTATAATAATTGAGCATTAAGCCCCTTGAATGTGTTGTAAATTTATGAAAGTGCATGTTAACTGATTCCCAAAAATAACTCAATTCTGACCAGCTACATATAATTAGTAGTGATGCCACATTAATTGAAAACTTTAGAGATACACACAAACATGTGCTCTGCATAATTACTGATCAGTTTAATAAGCCAGTTCAACTACAGGGAGGGGAAGAATTGTCAGGGCGAATAGCCAACAATGAAATCTCAAAAGCCAGGAGAGCCTTAGCCTTGGTCAAGGCGCGGTAAACGATATCCTTGCTAGCGCTGTGCATGTGCGGTGCATTAAAAATACAGCGCGAACAGCGACCTCACGCGGCCACTATTTTTATAAAAATCAGTTGACCCAATCTAGCGCCTTGGTTCAATCGTCGGCAAAAGCTTATGTTTTTCTTTATTTTGTGCTGGATTTCTAGTGCACGACCTCGTATGCGAATACAGATAAGTGTAGGCGGGGCTAATATGTGGAGAGTCCAATCACACCTTGGTAAATCCGGACGTCATCAAATTATTTGCAGCTATTCCCCTTTTGCGGACGTGACAGGAACCACAGTTTTTGTGCATTGGTGCCGTGTGCAGAGACACACAACGTGTGCGTGTACGTGTATGGATTATGTACGGTGCCACGTTTCACTATGCAAGTTTCCACGCAACGATCGACCAATAAGAAAACGACATTTACGTTCAGCTAAGGCTATTAACATAATGAGCACCACCCCCAAAACCTCACATGGACGATTGAACCAAGGCGCTAGATTGGGTCCAACTGATTTGCATAAAAATAGTGGCCGCGTGAGGTCGCTGTTCGCGCTGTATTTTTAATGCACTGCACATGCACAGCGCTAGCAAGGATATCGTTTACCGCGCTACGGCCGGGATGAATAACAACTAGCGCCTTGACCAAGGCTAGGAGAGCCTTTGCCCTATCCTCAGTAAAATACGGAAGCGCGGGGGCTCCGGTGTCCAGACTACGCAAATAGTTGTGATATCTTACCTCGACGGCCGTGTGGCAGGATCGCATGACGCCGGTGCCCGTGGCATGCATCTGTGCCAAGTTGTAGAAGCCCAGGATGTGGCCGGATTGCGAGGCCAGGTTAAAGTACTTGACGGCCATCTTGTAGTCTCGCCGGACACCAAGACCACCTTGGGTTGAAAGAAAAACAACAAAAGAAATAACATATGCAATGCCCATCACATGCCCCACTTACTTTTCATCAACAATATTATGAACAAGCGCGGTCATTTTTTAAGCCAGTCAGTACGTGCTGGCATTCAACACGACAAGACAAGCCTAGTAAAGTTGGTCCAAGATCAATTTGGACTAAAAGGTCTACGGTACCTAGTCATCTGAGTCAAATCTTTGGGCCTAGGTAAGACTAAACTACTTTGGATTATATTTGCTGAAAATTTCAATTTTTCGTAACAGGCAAAATTTCCCAGCCAACTTCTGATATACAGCCAAACGCCACAAATACTGATTTGCAAGTCATTTCAACAGTATTTGTACGATATTTCTTGCCGAAACCTCCTATGTTTCAATACTCCGGGGTGTGCACTGGAGCGTTAATTGTACAACAATAGGCCATGCACAATGGCCAATTCAAGATCAACACACGGTCCGCCTCCACAGACTTCACGGACTAATGTGTGTGTGTACAAAAGGCACGAGGTATTAGCGTGTTTAGACGTCACATGGAGACGAGTCGAGGCAATCTTGACGTCTCAACCCGTCAGCCGTGCCTGTGTATAAAAACAACCAGTGCGTGTCATCACGTCCTCCGACGCGATCTGGTTAAGCAAGTCTTATTCACAAGTGCAGTCAGTTAGTCAGTGATTCAGTGAAATACAATGCAGGTAAACAGGACTCCTTTGGGATGAGAAAAATGTAAATTTTCCAACACTACATGTAGCAATATATCTCAACAACAGCAAGACAATATATATGTGACCGGCTCCACAAAAAAAGGAAATTATATCGCAAAAAAGTGAAATTGAGTTATATACATGGTTGGAAAGCCCACAATGTAAGCTTTCATTTGGTATATAATAGAACTCCTTAGCCCCTCTCGTTCTGGAGAAATGACATATTTGCATATTATTTACTTCCTTGGAGTTCAAATTACACAACCGAGAAAACAGGCTTTAAAATACCTGGCTTTGTTGTAAAACAACAGAACGATGCACACAAAATGGTTGTTTTTTCAACTTTATTCATCAAAATCAACATTTCTGTGAGTGAAACCTGAAACTTTAGGTATAAAACATGTCATTCATGACAAAAAATGACAATCACATTTTGACGAAATTGTCACCCTCTTACTGTTGAGCGGGCCATTACACAATATGCTCAGCGCGACTTTATACCCCTTTTTGCTGGTCAAATATGTCATTTCCCATTCATAATTGTACAGTATATCAGTGCATATCAACATGCCAACTGGTCTTACACATTCACAATTTTCTTCTTCAATTTATAAGAAAAAATATATCAAACTTGAAAACCTTACATTTCACTGCTTAATTGCACCTACATGAACCGGTACCAGTTAATAAACTGAGTCCATACACTGCTCACAATTTCAATTCCATTTTTTTCCTTCATGATAAACACATTAGCTGGTTCTTTCTACTGCCCCAGCCTTGGGGTGCACTTTGCTACGTGACAACCATCCATCAGTGTAGCTCAGTGTCTTTAGGGGAATGGTACACATTTAGGGTAGCAGTACACAGAGTACATGTACATGGTGTTACATGTTTTATTGTTCTGCCCTGAGGTTTTTTTTTCTACATTGTAATCTCATGGACTCCCTCAATGTCCAGGATAACACCAAAAAAGTGTCAAATTTACAGGTTACATGTAAAGAGGATCACGCATGTGTCTGTTTCTTACTTCAGCTGGTCAGGTGTTGAACTAGTGTGAGCACTCAATAGCTTTCGGATAGCAACTGAATTGTTCTTCTCTATTTAAACGTAGAGTATATCATTTGCAGCCAGGCCTGTATTATCCAATAGGCACAGTAGGCTCTGTGCCTAGGGCCTACAAAAACTTCGGGGGCTTAAGAAAAAATTGAGGGCCTATGAAACATACCACTGTGTGCCAACAGGCTTTAAGAGCTACCAGTTTGGACTGGCTTGCTTAGTACAGCTTAGCATCAACATGAAATTGGTGCTGGTGCCTAGTGCGGAATAGGGCCTACGGAACACTAGTGCCTAGGGCCTACGGAACACTAGTGCCTAGGGCCTACGGAACACTGGTGCCTAGGGCCTACGGAACACTTACTCTGGCCCTGTTTGCAGCTATCAAAAAACTGACAAATTATTGTTGAAAAGCTTACTTGGTTTTAAGATAGTAATGGCATTAAACTCCCTGTGAATTATTCTTTCTGGCATGCTGTCATTTTGAAGAAAACAATAAAAGAAGGTCATTTCCAAAGATGCGTCTAAAAGGTAATTTGTTTTTAATTCGGCAAAGCCGTGAATGGGTGTGGTTGCTATAATTCGTCGATTCAGTGCAAGACATCGCGTACCTGCAATCGGCTGAATGAGAACGTGTCCCAGACGCTGATTTCAGGCGCAATTCAAAACATGTCTCAGCGACTTTTAAATTGAAAACGAGATCCTAGAATATTGCTTTTGCGGAATATACAGCATTCACTGAGCTAAACCTTCTACCAATCTCTTTAGATTTTGAGCACTTTTGTTACTTCAAACGCAAAAAAAAAATGCACAAATGACAAATGATAAAATCTACCTTTAAAGTTGCTTTTCCTTAGCTATTTTCTAGTTTCACCCCGAAAAATTGATTTTTTTTTTGAATTGCTATTTTTCTAGCGATACCGAAGTTATTCACTTTTGAGTGTGTGATATATAGACCCCCCCCCCTAAAAAAGCAGCCCACGTTTAGTTATGGAATATTTACCGTACACATTTTGAACTTTTTGTAGCCAGACAATAATTCAGGCATAAAGCATTGTGGGCACAAAAGCTAACCAAAATAAAAGTGTGTTATCAGAGGGTTGAAAATGTCCAAAATAGGGGGGAAAAAAGTAGCTTTTCCCCTTTAAATAAAACAAACAAACTGAAGATTCGTTCACAAAGGCTTCATTCAAGAAGACTAGAGGCATAAAGGTACAAAGGATTATTTGCTTTTGTTGCATAGTATTTTTTTGAAGCAACAAAATTGCTCACAATTTTTAGCAGGGTGCAAGACAATAAATCTTTTGAACTCTCAGTGTATTGTACAATGAAATGTACATTTTACATTCTGAGAAAACAGAGAAGATCTATGCACAACTTTTTTGGTCTTGTATGTGGATTCCTTACACCCGATACAAAAGCTGCCATTTCATATTTTGAAATGCAACCTCTCATTCAGTTGGTTATTGTACATGCATGTGACGTCGACGTCCTTGTGGTTGGGTTATTTTCGCAGTGTTTAACAAATATTAAATGAACAAAACAATTTGCCCGCGGGTACACTTTTTTAAACCAAATTCCAATTATGGTTTTCTTCAGAACAATATCATTTCAGGTGGCAAAATTTCACAGGGTATTTCGTACCAGCCCTATCTTCGCCTTGAGCAAGGTTTTTTTTCTAGTTAAATTGGTAGGTTTGTTTCTGGGTAATTACCTACATGCTTGTATATTAGCATACCCTTTCATGTCAACACAGACGCATTTTCTTATACTCCACTGATCCTGCTGGATCGGAGACCAGGTGGCCTCTACAACAAAATGCGCTGTCAGCAACCTCAAGAAATGACAACACAAAGAATCCAAATGCCACACATTGCACATAATGCATGTCCCAATAACGTTGAAATGCATCGATGAAAGATGCAGATTAAGTATGTACTGTATGATCACGACTACACTGGACTTTCTCTCCTTTGCAAAATGTCAGCAGCTGATCTTGTCAGCTTCAACACCTTTCCACAAGGCGAAAACAGAGTAAACTTCCAGGAACCTGAAATGTATAGGCTGCAGTATTGACGTGTAACATCTTTAAACTTCTAATTTCCGAGTCCACAACATGTCTGGATTTTTAAAAACAATGTATAAAATGTCCAAAATATGAGACGCAACATGTTTTCTCTAACGTAAATTGACTCACTACTTGGAAGGGATCCACAATAAAGTGCGCCACAAAGGTTTTTACCTTTCAGATGCGACATTTCAACATCACTCTTTGACCACCCTTCTTCAACTGTTCAGCTGTCATTCATACACACACAAAGAATGCATTCTAACTGTACACACACAAACACATGTGATGCATTCTGACTACCATGACTATTATTAAGACGAATTCCACTTCAAAGGTAAATCACCCCCAAACAAAATAAAAAAAAAAAAAGGAAGAAAAAGAAAGAAAACAAAAGAATAAAAAAACCAAAAAAAAATAGATGTTTGTACACAAAGACATGGCTGTTTGTTATTGTATTTTTATGTCATCTTATAGATTGATAGGACAGAGATGTGCAGTAGAAAGTTGCATAGTGATCAGTGCCAATAGTTCGGTAGCTATAGGCTTATAACAATGCACATTTAAAATGATGTGACATGTCATGTGATGATGTAATCGTGACGTCACTTTACAACTCATCAGTAGCACATCCCGGTTTAGTACATGTACATATCAAGTTACAACCCAATTGGACCTATAGTGCTGCAGGTATAGGCCTTCTATTCATTTTTAATATGACGTCACATGTCATATGATGACGTCATCGTGACGTCCCTTCAATTTTCATCTATAGCACATCCCGGTCTAGGTACATACCAACTTTCAACCCAATCGGACCTGTAGTTCTGTAGATATACCGGTAGGCCTTCAAAATAAATATGCACTTTTAATATGACGTCACATGTCATGTGATGACATACCAACTTTCAACCCCGAGTCGTACTCAGGTAATATGGACACACTCCGGGCTCTTTCATCCAATAGTGTTACCAAAATGCACGTGCCTTGTCTTTCAGAATGTGTGCGGCATGTGCGCTAACATGGCTCTGCGTTAAAAATGGCTTCTAATTTTGTTTGCTGAATTAGCGTATATGGCTAGTGACTTTCCCATGATACAGTAACAGTTAAACAAGGATTAGCACCACCCAAAGGCAGCTTTTCTGTGTCATCCGTTGCT